GTTTTTCTCCTCTTCTATTTATTGCTTCAGTTTTCTGCGTATCCTTCGGTCTGTCTCCTCTTCCTTGCGGTTACCTGCGTAAATCTGCTAGATGGGTGCTATCTAAGCTTGTCAAATAAACAATTAACTCTGAAAGTAGCAGTGATTTGGAACACCTTAGCCAGAAATCCTTATGATTATTGGCTTCTTGAATCTGCCTCAAATGTAAAGCACAATTTTATTGGATTCTTTGGACTTTTGATTCCTTTTTTTTTTTAAACAGTAGAAACATCAGTTTTCAAATAAATATAATTTGAAAAGAAAACAGGATTGCAGGGTGTCTGACAGCCAGACAGGAAATGATCCTACCATTTTTAAAAGGAGAGAGAGAGAGAGAGAGAGATTTGGAAGTGATTAGCACTGTTATTTTTGGTGCGCATTCCGTCTATGATTATTCTATTGAAATCTGCTGCTAAAATCATAGGTTTTTCTCCACCCCGATCTTCCAAGATCATCTCATCCAAAGAATAAAATAAAATTGTGCTTTACATTTGAGGCAGATTCAAGAAGCCAATAAGCATAAGGATTTCTGGTTAAGGTGTTCCAAATCACTGCTACTTTCAGAGTTAATGGTTTATTTAACAAGCTTATATAGCACCCATCTAGCGGAAGGAATTCTGGGTTGTGAAAATGAGAATCGAAACCATAAGGTACCAGGACAAGGTGATGCTCAATCTATCAGAATAGAGCTGGAAAGGACCTTTGAAGTCTTCTAGTCCGTTGGTTGCCATCCAGTGGGCCGTTGGGGTACTGGTAGTCCGCAAGAAAATTTTGGTGGTCCGCAGAGAAATGTCACCTCCAAAGCAATTAATCCTGGCTGCGCGGGAACACAAGGTTGCGCCGCCCACATGGCCTGCAGTGGCCTCCCCGCCCACTCACACCTTACTGGGCAAACTTGCCTGCTAAGTTGCTATTTTTCCTTTTTTTTCCCCCTTGGCCATCAGCTGATCTGCTGTGCTGAGAGATTTAGATTAGCTAGAAAGCAGGAAATCGTTGGGTTTCTTGCTGTCTAGCTAATCTTTAGATCTTCAGCTCTGCTTTTAAGCAGAGCCGAACCTCCCTTAGGACCGAAGGTTCTATTATTCAATTACAGGCTCAGATGGCAGAAACACAGATCTCTTAAAGTGAATCTGTGATTCTGTGAGCAACTCAATCTGCCTGCCTGCTTGGCTTGATTTGGGGTAAAAGTTGCTCTTTTTTTAATTTAAAAAAATCAATATTTACATACATGGTGTTTTGTGAGTTTGCGTGCAGGCAAATTTTATGAGTTAGCTTGCAAGCAAATTGGATGTGACAGACTCAGATAGCCAATGGCAGAAACACAAATCTCTAAGTGAACCTGTGGTTCTGTGAGCAACTCAATCTGCCTGCTTGCTTTGCCTGATTTGGGGTCAAAGTTGCTCTCTTTTTATAAAAAAAAATATATCAATATTTACATCAATATTTATAATATTTACATAGAAGCCATGCCCAGCCAGTCACAGGAAGACCAAGCTACACCCACAAATTAGGCCACACCTACAGAAACGGTTGTTAAGAAATTTCAATCCCACCCCTGCCTCTGTGTGTGTTGTGTGTGTGTATGTATGTATGAGAGAGAGAGAGAGGTTAGATTAGATCTCTCTCCCACCAATGTCAACAAGCCACCGTTAGTCAAAAGTCATATTAGTGGTCCCTGGGATTTACAATTATGAGTTTGGTGGTCCCTGAGGTCCAAAAGGTTGGTGACCCCCGTTCTAGTCCACCACCACCCCTTCTCAAGCAAGATAAGTGACCATCCAGTCTCTTCTTTAAAACCTCCAGTGATGAAGCACCCACAATTTCTAGTGGCAAGCTGTTCCACTGGTTAATTGTCCTCGTTAGGAAGTTTCTTCTTAATTCCAGGTTGCTTCTCTCCTTGATGAGTTTCCATCCTTTCTTGTTCTGCCTTCTGGTGCCTTGGAGAATAATTTGACCCTCTCCTTCTTTGGGGCAGCCCCTCAAATGTTGAAAGACTGCTTTCATGTCACCCCTGGTCCTTCTTTTTTCAAGGCTAGATCTAAGTAGTTTCTGCAATCTTTCTTCATATGTTTTAGCTAGAGAGAGAGAGAGAAAGAATAGGCTAGCGCTGAAAGGGACCTTGGAGGTCTTCTAGTCCAACCCCCTGCTCAAGCAGGAAATGCTATACCATTTCAGACAAATGGCTGTCCAGTCTCTTCTTGAAAACCTCCAGTGATCGAGCACCGAGAACTCCTGGTTGCAAGCTGTTCCACTGGTTAATTGTCCTCCCTGTTAGGAAGTCTCCTCCTTAATTCCAGGTTGCTTCTCTCCTTGATGGGTTTCCATCCGTGGCTTCTTGTCCTGCCTTCGGGGCTTTGGAGCTTGACTCCCACTTCTTTGGGGCAGCCCCTCAAATACTGGAAGGCTGCCATCGTGTCACCCCAGTCCATCTTTTCATTAAACCAGACATACCCAGTTCCTCCAACTGTTCTTCGTACGTCTTGGTTTCCAGGCCTTTAATCCTCTTTATGACTCTTCTCTGCACTTTTTCCAAAGTCTCAACATGTGTTTTTTTTTTTTTTTTTTTTTTGGTAATGTGGTCAACAAAACTAGATGCCGTATTCCAGGTGCGGCCTTACTAAGGCTTTATAAGGCTTTATGTTGGAGTCTCGAGAATTTTATCCAATCCAAAGGATTGGTAATTGTGGGTCAGCACCATGGTGCCCACTACTGAACAACAATAGCAGTAACCCCTACGATACCACCAGAACCGCATCGCATAAGGTAGTCCTCGACTTATGACCACAATTGAGCCCAGAATTTATGTTGCTCAGTGAGAAATCTGTTAAGTTTGGCCCCATTTTACGAGTTTTCTTGCCACATTTGTTGTAAGTGGATCCCTGCAGTTGTTTCACGTTTCCAAGGGATGAAATCCATTTAAAAAGCAAAGAGCAAAGTCCACCTTCCAAAACAATTTCTTTTATTTAGGAAAGCATCAAATTGACAAAGTCTGTTGTAATTCCGGATCTGACACAACCTGGAATAACACCACCAAGAAGTGGATTGGAAATTAGAAACAGCCCCCCAAAATTCAGCTTTTGTTCCCACGGGAAGAAGAACCACCTAGCCTAAACAACTCTCTCTATCTCCACTCCTCCCACCTTAGGAATGTGGCAAGCCCGAAACCCTTCCCCATAACCAGCAAAGAGAAAGAAAGAAAAGGAATATACGGTATAATAAGGCTAAATAAAATGGCTATGCATATGTGAGTTTCGGGCTTGACAGGCTGCCCTCCCTCAATTGAAAAGAAACTCCTGCAACAACATATAATACACGAAGATTGGAATCAGGCTAAACACAATAATACTTGACAGTTAAATGAGTAACGCCGTTGTGAAGTGAATCTTGCTTCCCCATTGTCTTTGCTGGTCACAAGGTCGCAAAAGGGGATCACGTCACCCCGGGACACTGCAAACCGTCATAAATATGAGCCGGTTTCCAAGCATCCAAATGTAAATCCCATGACCATGGGGATGCTGTAACGGTCACAAGTGTGAAAAATGGCCAGAAGTCGCTTTTTTTCCCAACTTCGAACAGCCACCTAATGAACCATCATCAGTCAGGGACTGCCTGTATGGTCCCTGAAGCGCGAAACAGCAGGAAATGTGAGCCCAGCTGGCTTAAGAATTCTCCTCAGCATTGAATCAATGCTGCATTTCCTGCCAAATTGTATCTGCCGGTCGCTTCCTGCCCACTCCAAAAAACCTAGACGGAATATTTTTCATCCGCCGCCGTAGGCAAAACCTGTGAAAGACAGTGGGGCTACATGGAGGATTGGACTAACGCGTCCATATTTCATTATTTGATAAACATCAGGAGTATCGGCCGCATCGAATTGCTTTAGCAAAAGAAAACAGGAAGCGCTCCTGATCAATATTTATTCATCCATTTGCCCGACAAGGGAGGCAAAACGCAGCGAGCTTGAGCACTTAATCAAACAAATCATTTCCCAAACATTGGCCGACTGGCCAAAGGCATAGAACAGACCAAACAGAGGGACGTTACTTCCTTCCTTGGATAGTGGCGGTTTATTTTAATTAAAAAGAATCTAATCTTCCTGACTGACAGATACTGTATGTCCTGAAGGGAGGGAGTTTGACCTCTGGGCAAGGAAGAAGGCCGGGCAGTTTGAGCCAGACCAAGGAGAGCCAGTCCTTTCTGATCTCAGATTCTTTCAGCCAAGGACAATCTGTGGAGAACACCATCTTCTCTTCCATGGTCAGCCTTGGCTGCAGGAAGTGAGCAGAATTGGTTTGGAAGTGAGCAGAATTGGCTGCTCTTCGTCCATCCCATCTTATCACATGGCAACCCATTCCCAATGCATCCCAACCCAACTCATCCCAATCCTCCCATCCCAATTCATTCCATCCCATCCCAATGCATCTAATTCCAACCCAACGTATCCTATCCCAGCCCAACCCAACCCATCCCAACTTAACCCATCTCATCTCATCTCATCCCAATCCAACCCAACC